GAAGGAAGGAAGGAAGGAAGGAAAACAAGGAGAAGGAAGGAAGGAAGGAAAACAAGGAGAAGGAAGGAAGGAAGGAAGGAAGGAAGGAAGGAAGGAAGGAAGGAAGGAAGGAAGGAAGGAAGGAAGGAAGGAAGGAAGGGCATACTTACTTTTTCAGCATATATGGGATTTCCAGACAGTTCCGAAAGGTGCATAAACTCTAAGTGGAGGCTCCCAAATTCAGCTAAAATGCTGCTTCCTGCGGATGCCCATCCCCAGCTCCAGCTCATGCCACTGGGGGAAACAGAAAAAGAAAAAAAGAGCTAAGCATACAAGGAGTAAGAATCCCAGGCAGTTTTCAACCTTGATTTAGCTCCAGGTGACCTATTCTCTGCAGGGCTTAGCCTGGACAAAAACATTGTGTATTTAGTTTTAACTTTTCCCAACATTGGAAACATTAAGATGTTTGGACTTCATTTAGCTTCCCAGATTTTCCTAGCCAGCATGTATGGAATTCTGGGAATTGAAGTCTATGTATCTTAATGTGATTTACTCATTAGTTATATACCTCAGCTTTCCTCTCCACGTTCCTGAAAAACACTAAATTGGCCAAAAATCTGATCATGGACATCTGTACCGGGAAAGGCCCCTTGAACCTAACATTCAAAGCTCAAATCTCTCCAGATGCCACTTACATCCTTCTCCTTATTTCCAGCAACTTAGTTGATAATAATATTGTATAATTTTTGGTGTTTGAGATAGTGTCACATGCAGGAAAGGCATTTGGTCTGGCTACACAGAAAACAGACAAGCACAGGAGCTAATATACACGGAGTACTTAGCAGGTAGATATAAAAAGTCACATTTGCTATACTTCTTTTTTTTTTTTGGACACTGCCATTGTTCCTCTGCATTTGTTGGCAGTAAGGATATATTTAAATATATAAATATTCATAAGATATTAAGTCTGGTAAGCCAAATGAAGAGCGGCTTTGACTACAGTGTGCATTTTGACATGCACGACTATGCTTTTAAAAGACATAAACATTCCAGAGGTAAGCTTAGCATATGGAAAAGGCAGCAGGGACAATTTGTGGTGAAAAGCAAACATCTAGAGATCCAAGGCCCCAAGAAATGCAACAAAACATCCTGGTTTTGCCAAGTGGTAAAATTGCAGGAAATTGACAGAGTTTAAGAAAAAGCGTAGCAATCGTAGGAACTTTCCCGGACTTTGCTTCCTTACTCATCTTCTCCAATCAGCCAACACAACCATCTTGATTACAGTCTATTAAGATCATCTCAACCTCTGCAGAGCAGCCTATATTTTTAGGATTGGGTTGAAAATAGCCTCCGTAATTGTCGGCTTGCGAGAAGTTCATTGACTGCCACTTCAAAAAACAGGAAGACCTGATCCTAATAACTCTTGATTAGCACGGGAGGCAGATTGCGGTTAAAGTTTCTTTTCCCGCAAAGACAATTATCACAGCTATGATTATCCGAAGGGAGGAATTGCAGGGAGGCAGCAGAGGGCGCTCAATGGACTCCAGAGGGGATGGTTCCACTGTAACCTTTAAAAAAAATAAAATAAAAACTTACAGGTGTTGAAAAGCCAAGTTCTTTCTCTGACTAGGATTTGGGGAAATAAGACGGGCTTTTGGGTGCAGTTTAATACTTTTAGATGAATCGTATCGATCGCCACAGGGGTAAATCCACTACCGATCTCCCTTAAACCTAGCCGTTTCAGGGAGTTCAATTACAAGTGGTTTGGAGAGAAGATAAATAATGATAATATCGAGTCGGTCTGCCAACAGTTATGAGGATGCTTTTGAGCAGGGACTCCAACCGTGGCAACTTTAAGCCCGGGGAACTTCAGCTGGCTGGGGAATTCTGGGAGTTGAAGTCCCCCAGGCTTAAAGTGGCCACGGTTGGAGTCTCCTGCTTTTGAGGCAACCTGTAGATCAGCTATTGGGGGACAAATAGCTTGCTGCCTTCACCGTCAACGTTGTCCCAAGAACCAGGCTGGGAACAAAATGCTGGACTTTGGACTGATCCAGGAGAACGACAATTATGTTTTATGCAGGCAGTCCTCAAGTTATGACTGTAATGGAGCCTGCCCATTACAGTTGTAAGATATGACGGTAATAAAATGGGTTTTTGATCAGCCTGATTTTAGAAACTTTTTTTGTGGCAGTTAAAGTGAACTGGTAGTTCTCAAAGTATATAGGGCAGATAGTCCTCGACTTACAACGGTTTGTTTAATGATAGTTCAAAGTTACAGCACTAAAAGGGCAACTTATGACCATTTTTCACACGTACGACCTTTCCAGCATCCTCATGAACATGCGATCCAAATTCAGATGCTTGGCAACTGGTTCATATTTATGACTGTTGCTGTGGCCTAAGATCACATGATCAACTCCCTTTGCAACCTTCTGGCAAGCAAAATCGGCAGGGAAGCAAAATTCACGTAACGATCGGGTTACTAACTTATCGACTGCAGCGATTCCCTTAACAAACGAGGTGAGAAATGTCATAAAACGGGGCAAAAATTCACTTAACAAATGTCTCACTTAACAGCAGACATTTTGGGCTCAATTGTGGTCACAAGTCGAGGGCTACCTCTAGTTCCAGGTCATAAGTGTGTTTTGCAAGATTCTGCCTCTAGATGAGGAAAAATAAAGAAATCTTGTTTGAATCGTTGCGTGTACCTTTCTTGATTTTTTGAGACCGGACATCAATCTCATCAAACCAAAGCAGCCTTCTACCTACATTAAACATATACTATGAGAGCTATTAGGGAGGGGCTGTCCTCGTCCTCTTTCTCTCACACAGACTATCTGGACTGAACTGTCTCTTGCTCCTCTGGAATGGAAGCCCCTCCCTTCTAGGGATCCAGTCCACTATATTACATCCGGGGTGGGCTGATGGGGGTTCGGAGGGGTTCGGGAGAGCCCCTAGCTAAGATTCAACACGGTTGAATTGATTCTACACAGCTGGCCCCGCCCACCCCGCACCTCCTCTCCCCAGAGTACCCAAACGGCCCATTTTGGATGCAGGTAAGTGCAGGGAGCGTGTATAGGCCCGGGGAGGGTAAAAAATGGGCTTTCCAGAAGTTCGGGAAGGTCAAAACCAGGCCCATTTCCAGCTTCCAGAGAGCCTCTGGAACTCAGGGAGGCTGTTTTCACCTTCCCGGAAACTCGAAAACGCCCCTCCCCGCTGGGATGCAGGAGGCCGATAAGGCCACGCCCACCCAGCAACCGGGCAGAGGACCCGTTGCTAAAAAAAATTGAAGCCCATCCCTGATTACATCACACTGAGAAAGAGTGGGAGGTCCAAAGTCATCTAGGTCAGGAGTCTCCAATCTTGGCAACTTTAAGACTTGTGGACTTCAACTCCCAGAATTCCTCAGGCAGCTTTGCTTTGGAGACCCCTGATCTTGATTGCTTCCATGGCTGAAGGGAAACTAGAAACTGGGTCTCCTTGCTCCTAGACCAATCCCTTCCTCACTACACCAAGCTCCACTGGGTAACCTAAAAAGCCATAGATATCCTATGGCTTTCTCCCATTATAATATCCCATTATCCTAAGGCAAAGGTCTCCAAACTTGGCAACTTGAAGATCTGTGGACTTCAACTGGCTGGGGAATTCTGGGAGTTGAAGTCCACAAGTCCTAAAGCTGCCAAATTTGGAGACCCCTGTCCTAGGGGATGCTGACAATCCACCTTTTATCTCCAGTGATGTTTCTTCCTTACCTGGATACTCTAGATCGTCACATTCATTGGGTAGGTTCACCACCTACAGTGGTGATAACCAATAAGTGTTTCTCGCAAGTTAACTTTAATATAGATTATTCTCATAGCAAACCAGGCTGTTCATTTTCAAATGAATGAGGATGGAGGGCTAAATTTAAAATGGCCTTTCTTCCTTCTGGTGTTCTCAAACCGATTGCCCTTTCTTCCCTCCCCTCAGGGTTCTAACCTCAACTTTAAGCAGGAAGGCAAATGCAAGTCCTTGACTTGGCTTTCCGGAGAATTATTCTCCACCCTCAAAAAAAATGAACTTAGAAGTTATACATACAAACGCTAACCTCAACACCTTGGAATCGTTTCTTAAAAATTTATGTCATTTTAGTTACTTAAAATGGTGGTTGCTTAGCAATACATTTTCAGTACTACTCAGCAAAACAAGATTAATAGGCTCAAATCATAAGAAATTTCTTGTGTCATAAATCTCGTTTGGTTTTGCCTCCAGGAAGAGGTCCAAGTTATTCTTCTAAATTATAGAAAACTGAAAAAGGGAGAAAAAGAGATTCTTCTTGGCCTGTTTATATCTATCAGGTTAACAGTTGGACAACCTGTGCAGATTCCTTTCCCAGCCAGACTTTTGGTCATCAAAATCCCCACATTTTGCTGAATGTCCCCACCTTTTGTCCCTCTGGATTAGGATCTCCTGCATGATCCTTTAGCATTCACACAGCTTCTGCACTTTCTAATCAAGGCACGTGGTGAGCAACCTGCAGCTCCTTGTCTCAAGGGGAGGGAGGGAGGGAGGGAGGGAAAGAGATGGAAGAGAGAGATGAGAGGGAGGGAAGGAAAGAAATGGGAGGGAGGAAGAGGGAGGAAGAGGGAGGAAGAGGGAAGGAGAGATAAGACAGAGATGGAGGGAAGGGAAGAAGGGGAGGAAAGAGATGGGAAGGAGAGATGGGAGGGAGGGAAGGGAAGAGATGGGAGGGAGAGATGGAGGGAGGGAAGAAAAGAGATCGGAGGGAGAGAGGGAAAGATGGGCGGGAAAACTATGTGCTGCCAAATTATTGAACAACTTGGGAAGCCTAGAGCAGTGGCCCTCAACCTTTTGGGTGCCATGGACTGGTTCCGTGGAGGGCAGTATTTCCGTGGACTGGGTGGGGGCGTGGTTTCATGGTTCCACATGTGCATTTGTTGGGGCTTTGCTTGCTTGACTGACCAGTTTCTGGCAAGCCATGGACTGTTACTGGTCCATGGACCGGAGGTTGGGGAGCTCTGATCTAAAGCAACGAATCTTATCTTCAATTCCCAGGGTTCCCTAGCTAGTTGCTGAGGCTGAGAACAACTGGTCTGGAGTGATATTCAAACTGCCCTAAGGATGCTCACCAAGAATGACATTCAAGGCAAAGATTAATTACTCTAGGATTCAGGCTGACAATTCAAAGAGCAAAAATTAGGTCTTCTTTATAGGAACACACTGAACTAAACTCAACATTGTAAAAACTGTAAAGTCAGAGCAGAGAGGTTATAGAAATGCGGCGAGACGAAAGGAGGGCAAAGCTCAACCACCAGTTCATTTTAATTCACCTCTTTCTCTCAGCTGAGGGCACCCCAAAATCTCAGGCAAGGATCTTTCAAATTCCTATCACCCTCACAAACCAGAGATGCCTTGAGTAAGCTGAAACCAAGAGAACAGCTGGGAACTTTGTGATTACAAAAACAAGGGTGCGGAGAGGGGTTATGACTGCGGGAGAGCAAGCACGTTGAAGCAGAAAATGTTTTTCAATTTCACCTCCAAGCGAAATTCAGAAATTAGTCAACTATGCCAACTTTGGTTTCAGTTCAGGCCAATCTTTCTCCAGCCTGGCAGTTTCTGCTATATTGGTTTCAAGTTCCAGTTATCAGCCAGAATAACTGTAGTCAATTTAGGATGACCGGGAGCTAGATCTGAAAAGTGTCAGTTCAAGTAACCAGGGGAAGGTTGGCCTGAGTCATTCTGGTTTCTGTAACACCTGGGAACACGGTTAGATTGGGAGGAAACTCTGCCCTGTGAACAGAAAAGAGCTTTGTTTGGGGAGAAGTTCAACTTCACGATCCAAGGTACAGTTTCTCAACCTTGGAGACATATATGTGGACTTCAACTCCCAGAATTCCCCACCCAGCATTGCCTCAGATCAATATTTCTCCATCGTGGTGATTTTGAGAGAGGTGGACTTCAACTCCCAGAATTCCCCAGATGGCTGGGTTATTCTGGTCCACCTATCTTAAAAGACACCAAGATTGAGAAATGCTGATTAAAGGCAGGGGTCCCCAAACTTGGCACCTTTAAGACTTGTAGACTTCAACTCCCAGAATTCTCCAGCCAGCATATCTGGCTGGAGATTTCTGGGAATTGAAGTCCACAAGTCTTAAAGGTGCCAAGTTTGGAGACCTCTGATTTAAGTCAATGAAAGCCCCACTGCAAGAGTTACTGGAAAATTCTCCAAATTCAGCTGGCTTAATAAATCACTGGGAGCCTAAAACACCCAGAAACCTCAGCCTCCCCACAGACAGAAAGTGCCAAGTTGGGGGAAATCTGGGAGAAACTGAAAGCTATCCACATTTGCTTTCTGACAGCATTGGCTTGGCTCCCATTGAAAACATTACAGATAGTCCTCAATTTACAACAGTTTGGTAGAAAATAATAGAATGTGCAGAAATGAATAAATTGACATTAGCAATGAGAGAGCAAGAAGATAAAGAATAGTATAAAATTTGGGATTTATTTTATCAATGGCTAGATAAGAAAACAGGAAAATAAAATATAATATGTCATAATATTATAGTAATGATATGACAATGTAATAATATGCTACAATTGATTACAATGAAACGAATGATACTATGAATGAGGTTTTGTAAAGTTGAGATTTGCTTGAAAAGGATGCTATGTTTAAACAAAGTCTAATAAGAAGTTATAGTATGTTTAGTTGGTTTATATGTATATAATACGAACTTTAATAATGTATTTTGAAGGGAAAGACTGTTAATATTGTGCACAAAAGATATGTACCAAGTGACACACTGTGCAATGGAAAGATGGTTTTATTTGATGTTTTATGTTTGTATTTGTCAATGTTTGTTGTCAAAATAAAATAAAAATTTTTTTTTAAAAAGAATTTTTTTTACAATAGTTTGCTTAGTGACCATTCGAAGTAACTTATGACTGTTTTTCATACTTATGACCATCCCAGCACTCCATGGTCATGCAATCAAAATTGAGACCCTTGGCAACTGACTCATACTTATGACGGCTGCAGGATCATGAGATCAACTTTTGCGACCTTTTGACAAGCAAAGCCAATGGGGAAGCCAGATTCGCTTAACAACCATCTTAACCGCTGCAGGAATCCACTTAACCACTGTGGCAAGAAAGGTCGGGCAAAATTCACTTATAACAACTGTCTCACTTAGCAACAGAAATGTTGAGCTCAATTAGGGTCGTAAGCTGAGGACTATCTGTATTGCTTACTTCAATCCAGGTAGGTTTCTCCTCTTATTCTCTATTTGTTAGCAAAAACACATTACTGTTCCTTGCCTGCCCAGGTTGATGACTCCTCGTGGGATTCCTGTTGGTGTGTTAAAGGCGGGGAGAAGTTTCTCTCCAAGTTCTAGAGCTTTGCTCTTGAAGACCTGTTGGAAGAAAAAGAGGAGAGAGTCAGGAAGCAGATAATTAATGGGAGCTGGATTTCTAAACATAAACCTCCATATGTTCAGCCACTTGGAGGTATTTCCAGGTACATCAAGAGCCCTGGTGGCACAGGGGCTAGAATGCAGCATTACAGGCAAACTCTGCCCACAGCCTGAAGTTCAAACATGACAGGGCTCAAGGTTGACTCAGCCTTCCACCTTTCTGAGATCAATAAAATGAGGACCCAGATTGTTGGGGGCAAGACACAAGATGTGAAGCATTATGGAGCTGTGTGTAACTCTAAATGCTATTGCTAAGTACTAGTAGTGCTAGTGCTATTTCAAGAGGTTTGGAGAACCATTCTCGTAGACTACTGTTCTTCTGCCCAGACTGAATGGGCAATATTTGGATGCAATAGCTGTGAGCATCTTTTCTCAGTGTGAATGTAATTTAGCTCCTATTTACAACTAGAGTACAGGTGGTAATAATAATAATAATAAATAACAATAACCACATTTTAAATGTTCAGTTGACTAAGTTTCATGTTTAATGAATAAAAGAGACAGTAGTAGTAGTAGTAGTAGTAGTAGTAGTAGTAGTAGCAGCAGTAGTAGTCAGGATTCCGGCAGTTACTCCAATTAAATCATGAGCCTCAAGCCACACTCCCAAAATTGAATGGTTGAATGGTTTCAAAGTGGCTGGCACTTGGTTTTTTCTTTGGAGTAACACTGCTCCCACTGCCACATCACTGGTGTCTGCTTGAATGACAAAGGTTTGTTCGGGGTTAGGATGCTTCAGTACTGGTTCTTTTGCAAATACTTCTTTCAGTGTTTCAAATGCTTTTTGGCAGGTTAGGTCCGACTGTAGGGGTTGTCCCGGGTGGGGTTTCGTTCCTGGACTCCCTGTCTTTAGGAGGTCTGTCATGGGTTTTAATAGGCTACTATGGAATACCAGGTGTATTTTCCCTAACAATTGGGGCAACTTTTCAATGTTTTATGAGTTGACAGTAGTAGTAATACTTGTTGATACCTAGGATGCTGGCAGCAACCCGTATCAACCATCAGACCCAGTCAATGATAGTTGTGATACATTTTTAAATGTTCAGTTGACTGAGTTTCATGTTTAATGAATAAAAGATAGTAATAATATTAAAAGATGAGACAAAAAATAGATGAGAAACCATCTCAGGGCTTCCACTGTGGAAACCACACAAATCTTATTTCTCTGCCATCACTTTAAGTTTGAAGGGGTAGTAATGGCTTTGGATGGTGGCTTCTGGATTGTCCCACCATGGAGTAGAGTATGTAAGTGGGTTTGATCTTTAATAGGCATTAGAAACTTTGATGCCTGGTCTGTTTTAAATGATCTTCAATATTTTGATTTTATCAGCGCAGTTTGCTGTCCCTCTACTGTTAAAACAATTAATTAGATTTCTATCTATTTTAACCATTTCAAGATTATTTCCCCTTACAAACTGAAACTAAAAGCGTAATAAGCAAGGAAATGAATCTTCTTTCATTTTGTTTTTTCAAGGGCCTGTATTCAATAGGCGCCTATTATGAACTATTCAAGCCATTGTATGAGCCAATTCAGCAATTATACAAACATCCATATTATAGATAAAAACCCAGACTGGAAATGAATTCAGGTAAAAAAAAAATCAGCCGTTTGAACTTAAGGAAAAAATAGAAGTCCCCCCCCCCCCCCCCCCAATAGCTAAGATGCAGCACATATATTAAACATGGAAAATCTTGGATTCGATCCTTGGAACCCCTCCAGTTAAAAGGATGTTTGGTTTTTTTTCAAACTTTTCCGAGGAACCCCATGGGATCTGCTAGAATTTGATAGAGTACCATTAGAGATTAAGTGGAAAACAATAAACGTCACTAAAACACAGGCCAGGGGTATCCATAGCAACTTCTCTAAGGGCGGGGCTTGATCTCCTACAAATAAAGTGCCACGGCCACCATTTTGTAGGTCAGGATTTAAAAAGTTAACAGGTTCCACAGCTTGGAAAAATTTGAATCCCTTTGATTTAGTGGGTGATGGGAAAGACTCTCCGCTAGAATAGCAATAGCACTTAGACTTATATACCGCTTTATATTGCTTCACAGCCCTCTCTAAGCGGTTTAGAGAGTCAGCATATTGCCCCCAGCAATTGGGGTCCTCATTTTACCCACCTCGGAAGGATGGAAGGCTGAGTTAACCTTGAACCTGATAGGATTTGAACTGCCAAATTGTAGGCAGCTGGCTGCAGCAGAAGTAGCTTGCAATACTGCACTCTAACCACTGCGCTATAGAGGCTCCCTCAGGTGCTAGTGCAGAGAAAGAGACAGTATGAAATCAATGAAAAATAGGCCAGTGTTCCTCAACCTTGTCAGCTTGAAGATGTGTGGGCTTCAACTTCCAGAATTCCCCAGTCAGCATGGGAGTTGAAGTCCACACATCTTAAAGTTGCCTAGTTTGATTGATAAACAGTGGATCTTGACTTTCTTTCCAACTCTACAATTTTATGATTCTATGTCTGGCAGACAATATATTAGGGAAGGTTGTATAGGAGGGAGAGGGAGACCACAATGGATGTGAACCCCAACAATGATGCCTCTTTCTGAATGCATTCAGCTCTCAAAAAAGTTCTTCTCCACCTCTAAGCTCCACTAAAGACCATCAAAATCAATGGTTTTTTGACGCCATCATAAATTAAGACATTGGCCAGGATTGAAAACAGTTCTGAGTGAAAGGAGAGAAGTAAGTATCTCCATCACCTTTTCACACACCCCTTCTTTCTCTGTGACTGGTGGGCTGTCATAACAATCACCAGTTGAATTACGACCATAATTCAAGGCTCAAATATGATCTCAAGTCAAGGACTACTTGTAAAGCTTTTGAACAATTCCCTGTTCTAGTCAGCTTCTCAAGCCTTTTTATGAAAACTTGCAAACGGGGACATCTGCTCCCTACTCCTCATTTGCTCCAGTCATCACAGGAACTGAACTTGCTGAAAAGCGAGAACCAACCGCATAGTTCTGCAGATATATTAATCAAGAGTTTACTTGTTATAAGGAGAAGAATGCTAAATGATTTACAGAGACATTTTGCAGGATCCAAAGCTTTTGTCTAAATGAGGAAAGCACCATTGCCAAGGCCACAGTGGCAAAGCTAACTTGTTTTAATTAAGTAAAAAAAATAAAAACAGTTTTGGAAAGGAAGAAAAAAAGAAGTCACATCTTGCTGTGCTTTGCTATTCCTTTCAAAAGACAAAAAGGTGACCATATAACACTTTTGCACGGCAAGGGTCTTACAGTCTCTCATTGGAACCACGCAGCTCCCTTCTTCTATATGCAAAGCCACAGCAGGAGGCCAAACTACTGCTTTGCTCCAGTTTCTGTCCTAGAAATTTTTTTTGTGCAACCTTTCTATGCCATCAAAAATATATAGTGCAATCAGTCTCAGTGTGTATCACGGAACAATGGAAAAACAAGCAGGAACGGTACTGCTGCGGTATTATATCATGCGGCAGAGTTCATTATGGTGGTGCAAGTCACCGGCCTGGGAAGCAAGGTCACCTTTGAGACCCTTTACTCCAAGGAGGAGAATATCCTTTGAAGGGTGGGCCTGGAGGGCTTCCTCCTTCAGAACCCCATAGCCTGGTTTAAAGGCTTTTCCTGAAGGCTAAAAGAGAGGGGGAGGGGATCTGAGCTCTGAAGGTGGGGACCGTAGCAGAAAGCCATTTGATGGATCCCACCAGCCAAAATTACTTGGCTGATGGGATCTGCACTGCAGTAGGTACCTTTTTCTAGCACAAATAGGGTGGGCCAATCCTATAGGGCAAGGGTCTCCAACCCCCAGTCCATGAACCAGCATTGGGCCACGGCATGCCAGAAACCATGCCGTGCAAACAAGTGAAGCCCCATCCATGGGATGCAGGCAGCACATGAAACCACGTCCCATTCCGATCCATGGAAAAACCTTTCTCCATGGAACCGGTCCTTGGTGCCCAAAAGGTTGGGGACCACTGCTACAGGGGGAAGGTGGTTCTGTAGATATTTTGGACCAAATGCTATAGCAATAGCACTTACACTTACATACCACTTCACAGTGTTTTAACAGCCCTCTCCAAGCAGTTTACAGAGTCAGCCTATTTCCCCCAACAATTGGGGTCCTCATTTTACCCACCTTGGAAGGATTTGAAGGCTGAGTCAACCTTGAGCCTGGTGAGATTCGAACTGCCAAATTGCAGACAGACGGCAGTCAGCAGAAGTAGGCTGCAGTACAGCACTCTAACCACTGTACCACAGAGGATCTATAAAGGGCTTTAAAGGCAATAGCCATACCTTGAACTGCACCCAGAAGCAGATTGACAGCCAAAGTACAAAAGTATATCAATCTCTTTTTAAGTCTACTGCCTGCCCTAAATTTCATAAAAGTTCTCAGTAAAGGGATTCCTGCTTGTAGCTATGTTTTATGGAAATACTTGCCTAGGTAGTTCAGTTCCAAGAATTAATACCTGAAGGTTATGGCAATTAATGCCTTCCCTGGTGCATTCTCCCTTGTTGAGATAATGAAGAATGTCTTGGAATGAGTCCATGAAATTTAGGAGCTCATCACACATGACTTTAATGCCAAGGAAGATTTTTGGGGTTTGGTGGTAGAGTTAAAAATGGTAGTCACTTAAAAAAAAAAAAAGATAGTTTACAGCAGTGATTAATGTGACCCTTGTGAGGGTAGCCTCAAGCCATTAATAAATTCAGAATGCAAAAACAAAATCGTGACCAGCGGCATTTCTGCAATGGCCAATGTACCAACCCAGTGAACTGTCCAGGAGAAATTGTCCACAGGAGGAAACTCCTACTGGATGAGCCAGGCCAAGTAATTATGCCCAACTTAATTAACAGCTATCATCGGTGCTCTGGTATTTATCAAGAGGTGCCATTTTTAGCTGGCTTAGGTAAGGGAGCAGGTGTGGTTTTCTGAGATTCTCCAAGAGGAAATCCATATTGCAAATCAGACGTGCAAATAGTACCAACCTCTTCGCCTGTCAGGTAATACGCAGACAGAAGTCCTCCAACATAGCGGATGTTCACTTCGAATAAGGAAGCTTCGCCATTCTGCTGGAAGAAAAATACAACCCAAGAAGGTCTCATATTGTTCATTGGCAGATATGTGAATGCTAAGATAAGAAAGTGCAACGGAAGCAGTGGGTATAAAAGCACATTTTTCGTACTCTTTATTGCACAATCCTTAGCAGAGACACTTGCAAGCCATGGATGGAAATAACCCTGTAACTTTAAGACCTGTGGACTTCCACGTCCAGAATTCCCAAGCTAGCCTGCCTGCCACATTCCCCAACCTGCCACCTCCTTCTCCAGGAGGAAATAATAATAATAATAATTGGCATTGTTACCCCCAAAACGAACAATTTCCTCTACCTCTATCTCTTGTAGAGAGCTTCTGCATGCTTTGGGGACAACATCTGGAATGACTTTGGTGCTGCTGGCTGGTGGTCTCCAGTATTTCAATTTAAAAAAAAAAATCTTCCCATATCAATAGTCAAATTACATAAAATGTATCACTTGGTCCTAAGCAGAAACAGCTTATTAAGACCTACCAGAAACAGTAACATAGACGCTAAACATTTCTAACAGTGATATACGAGAGTAAGAGCAACTGTTTGTTGCCTCCACATTCTTTTCTCTGTGGTTTTAGCATTTTGAGGAAATCACAAATCCATTCACGTAAAGACATAATAATTAGACCCCAGAGCAGTTTACATCAGTGAGCATGGATGGAAAGGGAATGATAACGGGAACAAGCTTGTGCAACCCCCTCCCTTTTTTTAATGTAACACTGATGCGGTGGACTGAAGTTTCCAACTAGCCCTTTACTCATAAAAATCTTGGAGCAGCGAAATGTCAAAGCAATTGTGGTCAAACCATCCCTTTCAAAAATTTCCTCCTGCCAATTCAGGTTTGTCCTCTGAATAAATACCGGCTTTTTACCAAAGGTGTGCATGCACAAACATCCTCCTCACCCCCAGGCAGAAGAGGTATTTCTGGACGACATAAAAGAGCCAGTTAGAAAAACAGGAATTGGAATACAGGAATAGAATAGAATAGAAATTAGAATAGAACAGAACAGAACAGAGTAGAGTAGAATAACAGAGTTGAAAGGGACCTTGGAGGTCTTCTAGTCCAACCCCCTGCTCAGGTAGGAAACCTACACTATTTCAGTCAAATGGTTGTCCAAACTCTTCTTAAAAACTTCCAATGTTGGATTTACAACTTCTGGAGGCAAGTTGTTCCACTGATTTATTGTTCTGCCAGGAAATTCCTCCTTAGTTTTAGGTTGCTTCTCTCCTTGATTAGTTTCCATCCATTGTTTCTTGTCCTGCCTTTTGGGGCTTTGTGGCAGCCCCTGAGATATTGGAACTATCATGTCACCCCTAGTCCTTCTTTTCATCAAACTGAAGTAGATATACCCAATTCCAGCAACCATTCTTTGTATGTTTTAGCCTTCATCCCCTAATCATCCTTGTTGCTCTTCTCTGCATTCTTTCTAGAGTCTTAACATCTTTTTTACATCTTGGTGACCAAAACTGGATGCAGGATTCCAAGTGTGGAATATCCGGGAAGTGGGCAGGGGTGGGATAGACAGGGTTAACTACCGGTTCGGGATGCCTGTTAATCGTCATTAGCAGGCTGCTGCCAAGAAGCAGCCTTTGAAACAGCCCTCTTTTCTTGTTTTTTTTAAACTGCAACTGTGCCTCGTTGGGCAGCTGAAGTTGAAAAATCAGGAAAATAAAGATCAGGTAAGAGCCCAGGTGGGCGGATGGGTGGGCAAAAACATCAGCAGACATAGAACCGGTTCTATGTCTGCTGATGTTCAGAGCTACCGGTTCTACAGAGGTGGACACTCCTGAAAGTGGGGCTTGCATTCTTTCTGATTCTGTTCACAACCAGTGTGCGGTGTTTATAATTCCATACAACTCACATCAGGTCATTTTGGGAAGATGTGCAGCGTGCTATTATACTCAACTAATGAATGGATGCTGCAGCCATCATCAACATCACCTTGAATTCTATATCCACTTGAAAACATTAACTTGCGGTGCATTGATGACGTTACCTAGTTTGGTAGTGAAGTGTCTACAAGAAAATAACCAAGCTCAGAGAGCACCATACATGGTATTTTTTCAAATGTCCTAGGTTTATATTCTTTTTAATATCCTAATCACTGTTTCTTAACCTTGGCAATTTTCTGATGCCAGAATTCTCCAATCAGCTTGCTAGGCAGTAAATTCTAGGAGTTAAAGTTCATCCATCTTCAAACTGTCAAGGTTTTAGCAATATTTTCAATGCTCCCTTTTCTAAGTTTTTGGCAAATATAGGTATTTAAATTTAGAGACAAGGAGGGTTCAGAATCTGTAATCTGGAAACGTTGGCTGTTATAGAGCCTTAAGATAAATGCCTTGCTTCGTGATAATAAAAATGGATTTGCTGGTTGGGGAATCTTGGGAGTTGAGGTCCACACATTTGAAGTTTCCAAGGTTGAGAAACCCTACCCTAAGCACTTCATTTCTAACTGAGTTGTCCTGTTTCATCTGGATAAAAAGAAACTTTCAGTCCACATCTTGTCTCTTTTGCCGAGAATCCTATGACACGGCTCTTCACAAGGCTTCTGCTGATTGATTTGTGGGCCAGAAGGGAGAGCTTTTGTGAAAATACAGATCAATAACCTTTCTCTAGTTTGTCTGTTGGCCTATTGATCCGATTCCAAACACAGAGCATTGAGCCAAATTTACGAGGCCTGGCTGCCCATTTGCAAGACCACGTTGGTCATCTATTTCAAAACAAAGCTTTTCAAAGGGGCTTTTCAGGGGGAGGGAGCAATTTCCTTTGCTTTTCCTATAGCCTTGCAGCAAAAAACAGAGATGCGGTTTGGAATGAGAAATGCTGCCCTGCTGGTATATAAGCAGGGCTGCCAGTCCACAATGGTTTTAAAATCAGAAACGTGGAGGACCTTAGTCTGTGCAGCAACAGAAAACTCTCAAATAATATAGGGACTGTAGAGAGGCTAAACAAAGTGATAAATAGGATAAACTAGAACAGGGGTGTCAAACTCAATTTCATTGAGGGCTGCATTAGGGTTGTGTTTGATCTTGGGGGGGAGGGATGGGTGGGTGTGGCTAGGGTAGGCATGGCCAGCTAGATGTCACTTGTGTCGGGGGCACCTGAGGTCCATTTTTGCTGACAGAGGGTTGCAGGAAGCTGTCACAGCCGAAAACGGAGCTCGGGAGGGCTCCCGAGCTCCGTTTTTCGCTGGCAGATGCACTGCGGGCTGGTCCTCGCTGCTTCCAGGGTGGCAGCCCTGTGGGCCAGATCTAAGCACCCTGCAGGCCAAATTTGGCCTGTGGGCCTTGAGTTTGATACCCCTGAACTAGAGCATGGGATGGGATTCAGAGGACCAAATATTCATAGGCTATTTCAAGCATTATAAAAACCATGAGAGAACCAACCTGGAGGCAAACAAATTCATGGAGAATAAAAATAAATAAACATAATACAAAAGTCAGTCTGGGCTAGTGGTTAAGGCTAAGCCATGAAAGCCAGATCTTGGGCTAGTCACTCCCTCTCAGCCCAACTCACGGAATTGTTGTGGTGGGAAAAATAGGAAGAGGAAGGTGTGTGGATATGTTTAATGCCTTGAGTTATTTGTAAAAATAATAAATCAATAAACAAATAAAACACAGTCTCTTCAAGTAGAGAGACAAGTTCCTAAGCTCTAAGTGGGATAGTAGTACAACTTAGGGCCTGTTGTGTCCCATTTGTGGAACTTCTAACCATCTTTTAAAAAGTTCTACTCTGCTCCAAACTGAATTTCTTCCAGATGTTTGCAAGTATAATTCTCATCAACTTTCATTGCTAGCCATGCTGCCCATAGTTATGACCCAAAATATTTAAAAGAAATGGGATGTTTACCTGGAGGCTCACCTATCAAGAGTTTGTCACTTCTCCTTCGCACCAAAAAGCAGTCAAAGGCACAGCAGGGGCATTTCGGCTGCAAGGAGACCTCAACCAGGGAAGCTTGCTAAGGAACCTTGGGCCTACGGGACTCTCTCTCAGCTCAAGAGCCAAGACGGTGGAGTGATGAAGATGCTGCACCTCTACAAAACATCAGATGGCAGCTGGAAGGCCTGTGCTTCAAATACCCGCAGCTGCTTAGTTCTCAAAGGATCCAGCTTTTTCAACGGAGGTATTCCAGACAGGGAAGAGGGAAAGAGGAGGCGGGCCGATCCACAAAGATATAGACCAGAGTTTTTCAACATTGGCAACTTTAAGATGAGTGAACTTCAACTCCCAGAATTCCCCAGCCATTATACGTATGTATGTATGTATATATGTATGCATGCATGTATGTATGTAATGGCTGGGGAATTCTGGGAGTTGAAGTCCACCCATCTTAAAGCTGCCAATGTTGAAAAATATCGATAGAGGGGCTGATTGGATTAATAGCTGATCTGGCAATCAAGGCGATTCTGCTTTAATCCTTTTACCCTATTACCTCCCAGCTCAACTGCACGCTGGCCTATTCTCGGCTTGTTTTTACAGTGTGCCAGGTTGGGGGGAACCAGGGGTGGGGGGAAGAGGGCCAGTCAAAACATCAGGGTTCAAAATACACCGGGAGGGGGGGTGTTCTGCCGGAACAGAGAAACCTATTCAAAGGCTGACTCACCACGTTCAAGTCAAAGCTCTTCTCCACCCAATCTTTGGCGTCCTGGAATTCTTCCTGCAGCTCCATGACATACAAGGTATCCAAAGCATCCACCACGGTGGCTCCCCGGAGGCCTCCTGCAGGGACAGAAACCCCCCACCATTAGAAAGGAACTTCAGCTGACTTTCCACTGAGGGATGCAGAGGTAAGAGTGGCGGTAAAGAATCGCTGCTGGGATGTAATCCCGAGACTGCTTTCTTGATGCATATAGACCATGGAGGGGATGCGGTGGCTCAGTGGCTAAGAAGCTGAGCTTGTCAATCAGAAAGGTCAGCAGTTCGGCGGTTCGAATCCCTAGCGCCGTGTAATGGAGTGAACTCCCGTTACTCGTCCCAGCTTCTGCCAACCTAGCAGTTCAAAAGCATGTAAAAATCCAAGTAGAAAAATAGGGACCCACTTTTGGCAGGAAGGTTCTGTGCGCCTTTGGCATTTAGTCATGTTGGGCACATGACCACGGAGACATCTTCAGACAGCGCTGACTCTTTGGCTTTGTAACGTAGGTGAGCACCGCCCCTTAGAGCCGGGAAAGACTAGCACATATGTGCAAGGGGAACCTTTACCGTGTGTGTGTGTGTGTGTGTGTGTACACACACACACACAGACACACACTCTAGGTAAAGGATTGGATGATGTTAGGTAAGTTTCATGTAGACTAGGGGGTCCAACCTTGGCAGCTCCAAGATGGGTGGCCATCAACTTCCAGATTTCCCCAGCCATTACATTCATTCATACATACATACATACATACATACATACATACATACATGCATGCATGCATGCATGCATATCTAATGGCTCGGGAATTCTGGGAGTTGATGGCCACCCATCTTAGAGCTGCCAAGGTTGGAACCCCTAGTCTACATGAAACTTACCCAACATCATCCAATTGTAAGGGACTGCAATGCCTATCATCCTGAGCCACATGATCTATGACCCCTCCTCTATATGCAGAGCAAGGAGGAAAGAGACTCTGCACCATCGCAGGTTGCATGCGCTAGAACCTTTGAACAGTATATTAACAGAACATCGCAGGTTCTATGCACTAGAACCTTTGAACAGTATATTAAGATCCTATAATATTGCATTTTTACATCTCCGAATGATTCAGGGGAAGTGACACTGTCAGGAGACTTGAAATGTAAAACCTCTTAATTGGTTCAAAACCCTCCTGATAACTTGCAGCACTCCTCAGCAGAAAATGGGAAGCCAATGTGTGAACACCTGATAAAAGCGAGCCATGGGCTTCTGAGCAATCTCAACTGCAAAGGACTGACAGGTAAAAAAAAAAGTGAACCAGATCAGAGAAATGAAGACATTCTGAAATGAAGAGCTGGTTGTTAGAAGCATGAGACTTCAAGGGACTCCTGTTTGGGAGATACCCCCTATTCGACTAGGAACTGGATGAGTGAGTATGGGAGAGGGAGATCGGGGAGAGGGAGGGAGACAGAGAGAGAGAAGAAAGGAGAGAGAGAGACAGAGGGAGGGAGGGAGGGAGACAGAGAGGGGGGAGGAAGGGAGATGGAGAAGAAGGGAGAGGGAGGGAGAGAGACAGAGAGAGGGGAGGAAGGGAGAGGGAGAAGGGAGAGAGAGGGAAAGTGGGAGAGGGAGGGAGGGGGACACAGAGAGAGAAGAACAAAGGAAGAGGGGAAGAGGGAGGGAGAGAGATAAGTTTTCCAGTAGTTTTAAAATGTCATTTAAATTATCGCACAGCCCACTTGGGTTCACTGTCCTTGCAAAACTGAAGAAAGGATTCCCATTATCCCATATCATTGGGACTGAGGAGCAAAACACCACAAATTAAGGTGGAGGTTGTAATAAGAAATACTGAATGCAAAGTTGAGAAAGGAAAAGGTGACACAGAAACAGCAAACACTATCCCTACTTAAGTAATGTGTGTGTGTGTGTGTGTGTGTGTTGGGGGGGGGAAGAGGGAGGGACTAGCCGAGTGACAGGTTTGTGCTGTGTGATGCTTAAGAAGCTGTGGCTTAGAGATCAGGCCCTGCCAGATTGTTGCTTTGTCTAAAATCTGCTCGTTCATCAATGGGGACCCTTTAAAAGAAGATATTAGGCTTCCCTTCCTCTAAGGCAGGGGTCTCCAACCTTGGCTACTTACAGACTTGTGGACTTCAACTCCCAGAATTCCTCAGCCAGCAAAGCTAAGCTAAGCAAAGTGGCTGAGGAATCCTGGGAGTTGAAGTCCACAAGTCTTTAAGTTGCCAAGGTTGGAGACCCCTGCTCTAAGGCACTGTATCTCGACCTCGGACACTTTTAAGATGTGTGGACTTCAACTCCCAGAATTCCTCAGGCAGCATGGCTAGCTGGGGAATTCTGGGAGTTGACATCCATACAAACTTAAATTTGCTGAGGTTGTGCTCTAGTTACATTAGGAAAGAAACCAAGCAGGTTAATCATACACTGCACATGCATTTACAAGCACTTTCCATTTCAGAGGCATTAAGCTACATTATCATGCAGACTAAAAAGTCTGAAAGCAGCGAAGATGCATGTAAAATGTGTAGAAATCAAGAGAGAAATTGCATGCAATTCCCGGAATTCATTAAATTGCAATCGCAAATTATACGTCCTACCCTCAAAAACAAGATCGCAGGGAAGGAATTTTTTTGAACTGGAGGAGCTAAAAACGTTCCAATTTATTACCCTTCATCTTTCGTATAATATGTAACCTGCACAGTCACTGAGCTAGAAAAAGACCGGGTAACAGAAAACACAGCTATAGTTATTTGATTTATATCCCATCTTTCTGGCTGGGTGAGCGCTCAAGGCAACTAAAAAAACCCCACTGCATTATTTTTTTTTAAAAAAAAGGTGAAAAACAATAGTAAAATAAATATAAATACTAAAATCTTTCTCTGCGGAGGCCTACAAAGATCAGGGGACCATTCTCTCGGCAACAAATGTGACATTTAAGATAAACTGGCTGTCCTAACAGCTTCCCAGTTCCCAGTAATTCAGCTTCTTTCCTATGAAGAGTGATTCACAGTTTTCCAGCAATGCTATAAGCACATCAGCATTCAGGAACATGTTAGGTATCCAAAACAGCTGGTGTCAACAAACGGTATGGTTGGCTTGGGTAAAATCCTGTCTCAGATCTGGCGGTGATAACTGTCTTTCTTAGCAGGGGGAACCATGTTTATGAAGGCTAAACATGATTCATTGCACCTCTTGTGAACTGCCCCAGCTGTGAGATATATAGCCCGCTAAACAGTACGCTATCCATCAACCTTGTTCTCATGCTTTAATGGAATGTCGGACAAGAGAGGGTTTCCTGAAGACCTTTGTGGGTGGATTACGTGTTAGAGAATCAGGTTTGGCTTGATGGGTCGAGGTGCTGATGGGACATCAGGTCCAAGATGCCTTGAAGGTATTTATATTATGAAGACCTGTTATTGTACCGAGCGCTAGAACCCACCTATGGCTTTCTAGAATTGAAATGAGAAATAGATGTGTACTCTGTACATTGGTTGAAGCTATTTCTTCTTTTCAGAAGGTCTGGCTTGTTTTCAACAAGGACAATTCTACAAAACAATGCATTATTATGGTTTTTCTAGGGAGGCATTTATAATGATGGATGGTGACTAAGCATTCATTGGAATTAGAATTCTTTTTTATTGGCCAAGTGTAATTGGACACACAAGGAATTTGTCTTGGTGCAAATGCTCTCAGTAACATAAAAGAAAAGATACATCCATCAAGAGTCAAGAATCATTAGGTACAACACTTAATAATAGTCATAGGGTACAATAAGCAATCAAATCATATTTGGAAACAGTCAATATAAATCGTTAGGATACAAGTGACAAAGTTACAGTCATACAGTCACAAGTGGGAGGGGATGGGTGATAAGGAGTGATGAGAAGATTAATAGTAATTAGTACTGCACTCTTTGTAAACAGTTGGACAGTGTTGAGGGAATTATTTGTTTAGCAGAGTGATGGCATTTGGGGAAAAACTGTCCTTATGTCTAGTTGTTCTGGCGTGCAGTGCTCTATAGCGTTGTTTTGAGGGAAGGAGTTGAAACAGTTTATGTCCGGGATGTGAGGGGTCTGTAGAGATTTTCACAGTCCCCCTTTTGACTCGTGGTAGGTCCTCGACTGAAGGCAGGTTGGTAGTAATTGTTTTTTCTGCAGTCCTAAGATCTGGAAGCCCAACTGGATCAATCTGCCTACAGTAATGGCATGAGGGAAAGACCTTGGGAGCCTGGGCACAAAGGAGTTGCTAAATAGAATGGTCAGATAACATAGTGGTCCCCAACCTATCTGGCTTTGCAAACCAGCCAGGTGGGTGGGTGGGGGAGAGGAAATGGCTCTGTGTGAGTGGCAATGTGCATGCAGCTACATTTGCGTGAGCGGGCAGCATTCACACCCGTGGCGCAACTGCCCGCTGCTCGCGTAAATGGAGCTGTGTGCCTGCCACTTGCACAGCTCAGTTCCTGAATGGGCTGCAGCCCAATGCTGGGCCCCAGTCAGGGGGTTGGGGACCTCTGAGATAAGAGACAGCATAGCCCCCAGATAGAGAATGGGTGGAGAGAGAGGCTCAGAAGAAACATTCCCTAGTTCTGGGTGGGAGGAGAGGGGATAGTATTCTCAGACTTGCAGGATTCTGTCAATGTAGCTTTACAATGGAGTAGAATAAGTTCCGCTGGTTTTAATTCCTATCTGGTTAATTTCATAAGGCTGATATTAGTCTTCCAAGTCTGAAAGAATAATTCTTTCCTATCACTTGTAAAATCAAGAAGTGTGTGTGTGTGTGTGTGTGTGTGTGTGTGTGTGTGTGTGTGTGTGTGTCCCTTCTGAGCCTCTTATCACATCCACTATCTCTTCTTCTAGACTGTCTCTTATTTGACCTTTCGTCATCCCTTTGCCTGGCCTCCCAAGGTCTTCCCCACATATCACTACACCCACCCAGTGTTGTGAGAAATCTGCTCACTTAAATTAGAAAGCAAAGTGGTTGGTTTCCTTTGCTGACAGCACATTGGTGCTTTCCTGGCAGGAAAATACTAGACTTTAAATGATCGCTTTATATGATTTCCTGAGCAATCAGGCACCTCTCTCTTAAG